AACGCGCGGTGCTGTTACGTGTACGCAAATTCACGTGCTTAATGTGAACGAGCCTTTTGGGCGGCGTGGTTAAAGTTGCGCATGCGCTATGAGCGCACATACGGGTACTTCTCAGGCATGCCGGGTAATCTGTGACGTTTCGCTCTCTCAAAAGTTGGGCCATTTTGTCATCATGCGCTAATGAGCAACTCTCATAGGAATGAATGAGGCCCCGCCTCCCACGCTGTATCCAGTTCTTATTATACATCCATGCTCACAGCCCGGTCGCTCCGTGAGTTTCTGGGGATGGTGACTTTCTACCTGTAGCGTTAGCTTCCATTCCTGCTAGCTCGTCAAGCAGAGCAGTTCATGTGATAACCTCTCTGTTATTAATGGCTAATAAAGATTGGAACTCTGTTCTTAATACACCGCCTCCGACTCCCTTTTCCTGGCACTACAATACACAATATTACAAATCAGTTCATAGTCATCAGAAAATTAGTGGCCGGTGAATTAACTTTTATAAATGTTTGGGTTAAAACAACCCATATTCTTCAAGAAGCTTGTACTGTTCGGTATGGCAGTTTGACACTGAAGCTTCGAACGGAGCTTCAACCCTGGACTTCCTATTCCATAGAAGCAGTGCTTCGAAGCTTGCTTCAAATCACGTGACATATGACGTCCGAAGCAGCAACTGCTTCAAATCAAAGTGATTCGATGCTTCATTCAAAGCTTCATTTTGCCATCACTACTGTTCGGTCTTAGTGTATCTTTACATTAAAAGTTTCATCAGACTACAATGTTAAATATAAGGCAATATATTATAAACATGTAATCCAATATGGCCACAGTCTACACTAGCATGTACACTTTAATTCAAGTTGAGGAACTTTCAAGTGCAGACATTGGGATAAGGAATCACATGTTTTAAGTTTAGTGCTCAATGTCTATCAATTGACTTGTACATTTAGTGGGAGCCCCTTAAAGTGATAAGATATTTTACCACTTGAGCTAAAACCTAAGAGTCACATTATAAAGAGTGCCACTGGTAAAGGTCAAAGTAAAAAGTCCAACTCAAAAGCAAACACTGCATTGTTGTAAGAACCAGTGTGCCACATAAGCAGATATCTCACACTTTTGTAAATTTGCAATAGTTTAAACTAGAACTATTGAGACATTTGTTTTTGCTAAGGGGATTTTCACAATCTTTTGTCAGCGCTGTAAAGTATTAAGATACATTTTCCAAATTTGGTTTGTAAAGGAAACATTTTTGCAACACACCTTTTAGACACTAGAGGGCACCAAGCTTACATCCACAAGCATTCATGCTTAGGCATTCACCATCCCACAATACAAGGTGAAGTAAAGACACAACCAGGTGGTAAATTAATGTATTTATTTAAAAATAAAATATTCATCCGAGGACACCAGCTGCACCTGTAAGAACAAACACACATTAGTCACCAGGTTTAAGTTAATGTATAGAACAGCAAGAAAGCGAGCATAGTACTCACCTGCTATTGTCCCCACTTTGGACTGACACGAAACCATTTGGCATTTATGTGAGCACTCGGGACTTGAGAGGAGCAACCTGAGGAAAGATGTAGGCCTGGGGTTCAGCCTGCCTCTGAGGGGCCACGTAGGCCCTGTTGGGAGCCTTGTAGGCCTGGTTCGTTGCTTGCCGCTGAGGGGCTACGTAGGCCTTCTTGGGAGTTTCGTAGGGCCTGTTGGGAGTTTCGTAGGGCCTGTTGGGAGTTTCGTAGGGCCTGTTGGGAGTTTCGTAGGGCCTGTTGGGAGTTTCGTAGGGCCTGTTGGGAAACTCGTAGGGCCTATTGGGAGTCTCGTAGGCCCTGTTGGGGGTCCTGTTGGGAGTCTCGTAGGCCCTGTTGGGGGTCTCGTGGGCCCTGTTGGGAGTCTCGTGGGCCCTGTTGGGAGTCTCGTGGGCCCTGTTGGGAGTCTCGTGGGCCCTGTTGGGAGTCTCGTGGGCCCTGTTGGGAGCATTGTAGGCCTTGTTGGGAGCATTGTAGACCCTGTTGGGAGTCTCGTAGGCCTTGTTGGAAGTCTCGTAGACCCTGTTGAGAGTCTGCTGCTGGGGAGCATTGTAGGCCTGGTTTGTTGCTTGCCGCTGAGGGGCCACGTAGGCCTTGATGGGAGTCTGGTAGGCCTGCTGGGGCTTCCTAACACTCACTTTCTCCTGCCCAGGAGCCTTCAGCCGTCTGATAGCATAGCCACCAAATTGATCAGGGATGATGTGGGTCTTGGTCGGGGCTAACTTCTTACCAGAGGTTCCCTCTCTGGATGATTTGGAGCCGTAGCTCGTTGAGTAACTGTGAGGCTTGAAGATGGGACCATTTCCTACATTGGACTCAAGAGAAGTGCCATAACTTGAGGCCATGGAAGTAGCCTTGTAGCTTCCTCTGGCATTTCCTGCATTCCCTGAAAACAGTTTACTCTTGTATGGGTTCACAACCTCAGTCTGGCTGGGGTTTTTAGGAGCTGAGGGACGGGAAGGTTTATCCGTTTTAGACACTAGCTTAGCGCGAACACTGGAGGAAGTTTTGGTCCGTGCAGGGGTTTGGTTTGGCTCAGGAGCACCGGCACCAAACAGGCTGGAAGACTTCTGCGTGTCCTTGTTGCTGCTCTTACTCAGAGAACCGCTACCGACAATAGCACTAGAAAGGCCATGAAAACGCTGTTTAGGCACACGATTCAAGTTAGGTTTTGACACTGAGCTGCCCTGCACTAACCTGACTTTAGCTAAGCCACTTTTAGCTGGCTGTGAAACAGTTTGTGTGTAGCCACCAGTAGAAGGCCCCCAGCTAAAACGATTGCCCACAGCTGAAGGTATGTTTAAGTTTCTGCTTTGAGCCTGTCTGAGTCGATTCTGGAGATAGTTGACACCAGCTTCCCGATTATTTTGCCTGAAGCCAACATATGTGTTGTTGTTCTTGCTCTGAGCTGCTAGAGAAAAAGAAAAATATTAAAGCCACAGCTATAGTCATTCACAGCACTTAAGTGAAATGTTGTGCTTAGCTCACCTTGTGAAGCCCACAAACAGCGCACATGCTCTGCTTGAACCAAGACAATAAGGAAAATCCTGCACAGAAAATATGTAAACATCAGAGAACGCAGACAGCTAACAACAATTAACTTTGCATGTCTGCAGAAACGTACCCCAAATGAACTCCACAAGTCATATTTCTCTCTCTCTCTGTTCCAAGACAGCAGTAAAGAACCAGTAGCCCCGAAGTGACTTGCTCTGCTTGTCTGAGCAGCAGAAAGGAGGCTTTATTGCAGCTTGCAGCCAATCAGGGCCTAATGAGCTGATTGTCTACAGGTGCTGCTGTGCTGTCAGGGTGGCAACTGAGTGCTGTTGATTTTCTGATTTTCTGTCACCTCTGAGTTCTTAAGTCCTGTGCAAAAAACTGTAAGGTAAAAGAGCAATATCTCAAACCCCTAAATGACCATTTTGTACATCAGACTTTCTCACAATGGTTACTTTCAGTTGTTCAAGAAACTTGTTTGTTTTTGTTGCATTTCTCAGGGTAAAATGAAGAAAGTGAAAACAGAAAACATTTGGGATTTATTGAAGTAATTGGAGAGCAAAAATATGTTTTTGTTTCACCCTGTTGTTACATTACATTACATGTGACTTGTTAGACGCTTTTATCCAAAGCGACTTACATACTCAATACTGTGGACAATCCCCACAGGAGCAATTTGGGGTGAAGTGTCTTGCCCAGGGACACAACGACATGTTGACTGCAGTGGGGTTTGAACATGTGACCCGCTGATCTGAACACCAACGCACAACCCACTACACCACACGCCTTTTTTTGCTTGTATTATGGTACTGTTATTGGTTTTGTGAATATCTTTAGGACAAAGAAAAACAAGATTCAAGTTTGAATGTTCATTTGAGTTTTTCTTTTGTTACAAGTCCTTTTTGTTGCCTATGGTATTAGAGACTGTGTGCATGTTTGTCTGTCCTGCTTTCAGAATAATCATATATACTGTTATGTGCTCACTCCGTCACAAACACATGCGTTTTCATTAAGATAAAACAATTAAATACACTTGCAAAAACAGTTTTAGGCACGCTACTTCTGTACTTGTGTTAAAGTGTGTTATACTACATTGGCTGTTTGAGTAAACCATTCTTGTGATATGATTGATTTAAGGGCGGTGCGACACCTCTGCCAGCGAAGGTGGAGGCTGTTGCGGCTTTTCCTCGCCCGCTCACAGCCAAGCCCCCAGGAAGTGCGCCGGAGTCTGATGAGAATATTCGTAGTGGCCAAATGGTGGTACTACACTTCCGTTTGGTTGCTGGGCCCGGAAACACTTTTTCCCATTGACTTACATTGGGAAAGAGTGGTCTGTAACTCGTTGGATAATTTTTTTTTAAACTAAATAAACAACCCAGTATGAAGACTTGTATAGCCCTTATTAAAAACATTCGTTTCCTCAAGTTGTAAAAATTTGCTAATAACGTTATTCTGAGAGTTATTTCCCTCGGCATTATGAACGCGCATCTAACCCACGGGACCGCCTGCCCGGCACGTTCATGTGATGTGACGTATTCAGCACCTCCCCCTTCACACGCGGTCACATTCAGTGTTTCACTGTCATGTCACTGAGGCTAAAGAGACAACGCTTTACAGTCTATGCTAACAACCGACAACAGTTTGCTCAAAAGGTAAGATACGAAAACATATTTATTTTCTAACCTGCCTCCTTAATGTCTGTATGTAATGTAACATGTTCTCATATAAAAGAGTAAAATAAGCCAAACCACTCATCAGCAACCGCTACTGTGGCTAAGCTAATGTTGGGTGTTTGCACAGTAATTTTCCATACTTTTCATAGTTAACCAAAAATGCTAGAAATGTATGCATGCCAGCAGTTCTGCAATGTTAACTCTGGATGCATTAGCCAACTTTCTAGAAACCAGACTTTGCATTTATAATTCGTTTTATATATATATATTTCTATTTAAAATCTATAAATGTGAGATGAAAAATCTAAAAATGACATATCTTTTTCACAACTAATTTCCAATGCAATGTCCCTACCATTGTAAACGACGATGCATACAGAATCTTCAAGAACACATATTATTTTAAAGAGGCGTGAAGAGCTAATCATTTGTACTTTATTTATAGATGGCAGAAATAGCCGGATCGTCATCCAGAGAGGAAATGCTGAAGGAAAGTGGGCCTCCCGCCATACTTGGACAAGGTGCTGTATAGTTTTTATAAGAATTTGTATTCATTTTGTTTCAGTAATTTTTTGATTGCATACCCTTTACTTTCATATGGCAAAAACAAATATATTGTACCTTATTTTTACATCTGATAAGTGAAATCAGTTGATTGTGACCTTATCACAAAAAGTCAGTGACTTGATACATCCTGCTTCGTAATAATGCATGAAATCGTCATGCATTATTTAATGTAATATTAATATATAATCTTAATCCTTATAAAGTTTCATCATGATTCTATATACAAGTATAGAGTTATATGTAATATAATCTACAAATTAAACTTGTGTAGTCTTAAAAATATGATGAAAATGATATGACAACTCAGGCTACATGTACCGCCTTTTTCTAAAAGATGATCACCAGTAACCACTTTTTCCTTTTTCAATATATTTTATTCTATCTAGGTCCCAATGTGTGGATAATAGGGAGCAGCTACATTAGACGTGGGGAAGAAAGAGCCAGACACACCATGGGAAGCAACCTGGGTCTCAATTGCCGTGTGTGGTGGTTTGGCAAGGGTGGTCTGAGGTGGAGGAACCTTCTTCCCTTTTTCTATTAGTCCTTGAGAGGAAGAACAGTCCCGGATGTCCTGCTCATCCACTGTGGCGGCAACGACAACAACCTTGGCAACATCAAAGGTGTGGAGCTTGTCACAGCGATGAAGCAGGACCTGCTTTCCCTCAGTGACAACTTCTCAGAGATGAAGATAATTCTATCTTCTATCAATGAGAGATGTCACTGGAGGAAAGCCAATCCGGGAAAGCTGAACAAGGCCAGAATGTGGGTGAACAGAGAGATGGGTAAATGTGTTAGTGGTTTGGGTGGAGAGAGTGTAAGGCATCCTTGCATTAAGTTTGACTGCCCTGGCATATTTCTAAGAGATGGAGTTCATTTCACCAATTTGGGAAATTATATGTTTTTAAGTAACCTTAAACAGTCCCTTGAGGCTATAATCTAAAGTGGTTCTGCATTTTGGATTCTAGCCTCAACAGGATATGTATATTTAACAAGAATAACTTATAGATTTGACAGGGCAGTCCTCCTTGTAAGGATGTCTTCACTTACTCACACTATTTTTTTTAAATGTGTCATTAATTAAATTGTTCACTCACATTCTGTGTTCTTCCTCTTTCTTAAACTTTAGTCCCCTTGTCTTTTTCTCTCTTCCTTCACTCATCTTAGTCCCCTTGTCTTTTTCTCTCTTTCCTTCACTCATCTTAGTCCCCTTGTCTTTTTCTCTCTTTCCCTCACTCATCTTAGTCCCCTTGTCTTTTTCTCTCTTTCCCTCACTCATCTTAGTCCCCTTGTATTTTTCTCTCTTTCCCTCACTCATTTTAGTCCCCTTGTATTTTTCTCTCTTTCCCTCACTCATCTTAGTCCCCTTGTATTTTTCTCTCTTTCCTTCACTCATTTTAGTCCCCTTGTATTTTTCTCTCTTTCCCTCACTCATCTTAGTCCCCTTGTCTTTTTTCTCTCTTTCCTTCACTCATCTTAGTCCCCTTGTCTTTTTCTCTCTTTCCCTCACTCATCTTAGTCCCCTTGTCTTTTTCTCTCTTTCCCTCACTCATCTTAGTCCCCTTGTATTTTTTCTCTCTTTCCCTCACTCATTTTAGTCCCCTTGTATTTTTCTCTCTTTCCCTCACTCATCTTAGTCCCCTTGTATTTTTCTCTCTTTCCCTCACTCATCTTAGTCCCCTTGTATTTTTCTCTCTTTCCCTCACTCATCTTAGTCCCCTTGTATTTTTCTCTCTTTCCCTCACTCATTTAGTCCCCCTGTTTTGTTTCTCTCTTTCCCTCACTCATCTTCCCCAGCCTCACCAGCCTCACCCAGACGACGAGACGGCGTACAGAGAGGAGGTCGAAAACCTGACATCTTGGTGCCAGGATAACAACCTCCATCTCAACGTCAGCAAAACCAAGGAGCTGATTGTGGATTGCAGGAAGCAGCAAAGAGAGGGACACGCCCCCCATCGCCATCAATGGGACTACGGTAGAGAGAGTCAGCAGCTTCAGGTTCCTCAGTGTCCATCACGGACACAGCTGCATCACGGCCTTGTACGGCAGCTGCACCGCCCTCAATCGTAAGGCTTTCCAAAAGGGTGGTGAAAACTGCACAGAACATCACCAGGGTGGAGCTGCCATCCATGGAGGACCTTTACTCCCAGCGGCTCAGGAAGAAAGCCCTCAGTTTATGTTTATGTTTATTTTAGAAATGTTTTGCACATTTGTTCCAATTCTGCTAATGGTATATTGCAGGATATTTAAGTCTCCCATGTACTTTTTAAATTAATAATAGTATGTTCATCTTGATGTTTAACTTGTAATATTGTAATCATCTTAGTTAGAAATGCTGTTTCCACCCCATCCTCTGCTGCTGAATGATTTTATATATTGTTACTGAAAGTGCTTGTCTTTGATATTATAATGATTCCACCAGAAAGTCACTCTTTGTGAGATTTATTTGTTCACATTTTTCCCAGCCACAAGATGATGTTCATTCATTGTAGGCCTCAAAGCTGGGTGAAGGTATTGATGCACGGATCAATGCAATCCTTTACAACAGCATTCCACTATGGTTGGGGATGTCTGTAAAAAAAGGAGAAATAATCTTAAACCAAATAAGTGTCGCAATATAGGGAAACAAACTGACAAAAACATCAATTAGATCAGAATACATTTACATTGTTACAAGCAGAAAAGAGCCAAAGACAGCCTAATGTTACTTAAAGTATGCATAAAAAAAGTATTAAAGATTCAAAACAAGAAATTATAATTTAAAAAAAATACACATTTCACAAAATACACATCCAGCAACAACAGTTTGGAGGATTTAGCAGCCTGGTATATTACACAGTTTTAGCGGCATATTTATATATATATATATATATATATACACATGGTTGGTATTTAACAACAAGGGGTGTTGTACTGTGATATTGGTATTTATGGGAACATTTGACACCTTTCCTTCAAGTATTATACGTTTTAGTTACTTGTGGGCTACTTAACATGAATAATCACAGTTACTATCCTTTTACTCAATCACATTTCAAAAAGAAATAGGATATTGTTATTTTAACTCCACCACAGTAATCCATCATCAGCTTTACTTTTTAGATAAAGTTTTAACTCACAATTGATCATAACAGGCTTCAACATATACATTTGTATATATTACCAAGTGGTTTCATGTACAACCCACACAAGTATCATGCTAAATGAAGCTCTGTTGCTTGGATATCACTAGATCCTGATGTCAGCGTAATATAAAAGTACATAACGATTGATGTGTAAGTTAGCATCATTTACTAGCTAGCCGCTAGCTGCTAACTGCCGCCTCGTTAATATAAATCCAGTACCATGCTGTCATGAACGCGCGGTGCTGTTACGTGTACGCAAATTCACGTGCTTAATGTGAACGAGCCTTTTGGGCGGCGTGGTTAAAGTTGCGCATGCGCTATGAGCGCACATACGGGTACTTCTCAGGCATGCCGGGTAATCTGTGACGTTTCGCTCTCTCAAAAGTTGGGCCATTTTGTCATCATGCGCTAATGAGCAACTCTCATAGGAATGAATGAGGCCCCGCCTCCCACGCTGTATCCAGTTCTTATTATACATCCATGCTCACAGCCCCGGTCGCTCCGTGAGTTTCTGGGGATGGTGACTTTCTACCTGTAGCGTTAGCTTCCATTCCTGCTAGCTCGTCAAGCAGAGCAGTTCATGTGATAACCTCTCTGTTATTAATGGCTAATAAAGATTGGAACTCTGTTCTTAATACACCGCCTCCGACTCCCTTTTCCTGGCACTACAATACACAATATTACAAATCAGTTCATAGTCATCAGAAAATTAGTGGCCGGTGAATTAACTTTTATAAATGTTTGGGTTAAAACAACCCATATTCTTCAAGAAGCTTGTACTGTTCGGTATGGCAGTTTGACACTGAAGCTTCGAACGGAGCTTCAACCCTGGACTTCCTATTCCATAGAAGCAGTGCTTCGAAGCTTGCTTCAAATCACGTGACATATGACGTCCGAAGCAGCAACTGCTTCAAATCAAAGTGATTCGATGCTTCATTCAAAGCTTCATTTTGCCATCACTACTGTTCGGTCTTAGTGTATCTTTACATTAAAGTTTCATCAGACTACAATGTTAAATATAAGGCAATATATTATAAACATGTAATCCAATATGGCCACAGTCTACACTAGCATGTACACTTTAATTCAAGTTGAGGAACTTTCAAGTGCAGACATTGGGATAAGGAATCACATGTTTTAAGTTTAGTGCTCAATGTCTATCAATTGACTTGTACATTTAGTGGGAGCCCCTTAAAGTGATAAGATATTTTACCACTTGAGCTAAAACCTAAGAGTCACATTATAAAGAGTGCCACTGGTAAAGGTCAAAGTAAAAAGTCCAACTCAAAAGCAAACACTGCATTGTTGTAAGAACCAGTGTGCCACATAAGCAGATATCTCACACTTTTGTAAATTTGCAATAGTTTAAACTAGAACTATTGAGACATTTGTTTTTGCTAAGGGGATTTTCACAATCTTTTGTTAGCGCTGTAAAGTATTAAGATACATTTTCCAAATTTGGTTTGTAAAGGAAACATTTTTGCAACACACCTTTTAGACACTAGAGGGCACCAAGCTTACATCCACAAGCATTCATGCTTAGGCATTCACCATCCCACAATACAAGGTGAAGTAAAGACACAACCAGGTGGTAAATTAATGTATTTATTTAAAAATAAAATATTCATCCGAGGACACCAGCTGCACCTGTAAGAACAAACACACATTAGTCACCAGGTTTAAGTTAATGTATAGAACAGCAAGAAAGCGAGCATAGTACTCACCTGCTATTGTCCCCACTTTGGACTGACACGAAACCATTTGGCATTTATGTGAGCACTCGGGACTTGAGAGGAGCAACCTGAGGAAAGATGTAGGCCTGGGGTTCAGCCTGCCTCTGAGGGGCCACGTAGGCCCTGTTGGGAGCCTTGTAGGCCTGGTTCGTTGCTTGCCGCTGAGGGGCTACGTAGGCCTTCTTGGGAGTTTCGTAGGGCCTGTTGGGAGTTTCGTAGGGCCTGTTGGGAGTTTCGTAGGGCCTGTTGGGAGTTTCGTAGGGCCTGTTGGGAAACTCGTAGGGCCTGTTGGGAAACTCGTAGGGCCTATTGGGAGTCTCGTAGGCCCTGTTGGGGGTCCTGTTGGGAGTCTCGTAGGCCCTGTTGGGGGTCTCGTGGGCCCTGTTGGGAGTCTCGTGGGCCCTGTTGGGAGTCTCGTGGGCCCTGTTGGGAGTCTCGTGGGCCCTGTTGGGAGTCTCGTGGGCCCTGTTGGGAGCATTGTAGGCCTTGTTGGGAGCATTGTAGACCCTGTTGGGAGTCTCGTAGGCCTTGTTGGAAGTCTCGTAGACCCTGTTGAGAGTCTGCTGCTGGGGAGCATTGTAGGCCTGGTTTGTTGCTTGCCGCTGAGGGGCCACGTAGGCCTTGATGGGAGTCTGGTAGGCCTGCTGGGGCTTCCTAACACTCACTTTCTCCTGCCCAGGAGCCTTCAGCCGTCTGATAGCATAGCCACCAAATTGATCAGGGATGATGTGGGTCTTGGTCGGGGCTAACTTCTTACCAGAGGTTCCCTCTCTGGATGATTTGGAGCCGTAGCTCGTTGAGTAACTGTGAGGCTTGAAGATGGGACCATTTCCTACATTGGACTCAAGAGAAGTGCCATAACTTGAGGCCATGGAAGTAGCCTTGTAGCTTCCTCTGGCATTTCCTGCATTCCCTGAAAACAGTTTACTCTTGTATGGGTTCACAACCTCAGTCTGGCTGGGGTTTTTAGGAGCTGAAGGACGGGAAGGTTTATCCGTTTTAGACACTAGCTTAGCGCGAACACTGGAGGAAGTTTTGGTCCGTGCAGGGGTTTGGTTTGGCTCAGGAGCACCGGCACCAAACAGGCTGGAAGACTTCTGCGTGTCCTTGTTGCTGCTCTTACTCAGAGAATCGCTACCGACAATAGCACTAGAAAGGCCATGAAAACGCTGTTTAGGCACACGATTCAAGTTAGGTTTTGACACTGAGCTGCCCTGCACTAACCTGACTTTAGCTAAGCCACTTTTAGCTGGCTGTGAAACAGTTTGTGTGTAGCCACCAGTAGAAGGCCCCCAGCTAAAACGACTGCCCACAGCTGAAGGTATGTTTAAGTTTCTGCTTTGAGCCTGTCTGAGTCGATTCTGGAGATAGTTGACACCAGCTTCCCGATTATTTTGCCTGAAGCCAACATATGTGTTGTTGTTCTTGCTCTGAGCTGCTAGAGAAAAAGAAAAATATTAAAGCCACAGCTATAGTCATTCACAGCACTTAAGTGAAATGTTGTGCTTAGCTCACCTTGTGAAGCCCACAAACAGCGCACATGCTCTGCTTGAACCAAGACAATAAGGAAAATCCTGCACAGAAAATATGTAAACATCAGAGAACGCAGACAGCTAACAACAATTAACTTTGCATGTCTGCAGAAACTTACCCCAAATGAACTCCACAAGTCATATTTCTCTCTCTCTCTGTTCCAAGACAGCAGTAAAGAACCAGTAGCCCCGAAGTGACTTGCTCTGCTTGTCTGAGCAGCAGAAAGGAGGCTTTATTGCAGCTTGCAGCCAATCAGGGCCTAATGAGCTGATTGTCTACAGGTGCTGCTGTGCTGTCAGGGTGGCAACTGAGTGCTGTTGATTTTCTGATTTTCTGTCACCTCTGAGTTCTTAAGTCCTGTGCAAAAATCCGTAAGGTAAAAGAGCAATATCTCAAACCCCTAAATGACCATTTTGTACATCAGACTTTCTCACAAAGGGTTACTTTCAGTTGTTCAAGAAACTTGTTTGTTTTTGTTGCATTTCTCAGGGTAAAATGAAGAAAGTGAAAACAGAAAACATTTGGGATTTATTGAAGTAATTTTGAGCAAAAATATGTTTTTGTTTCACCCTGTTGTTACATTACATTACATGTGACTTGTTAGACGCTTTTATCCAAAGCGACTTACATACTCTATACTGTGGACAATCCCCACAGGAGCAATTTGGGGTGAAGTGTCTTGCCCAGGGACACAACGACATGTTGACTGCAGTGGGGTTTGAACATGTCACCCGCTGATCTGAACACCAACGCACAACCCACTACATCACACGCCTTTTTTTGCTTGTATTATGGTACTGTTATTGGTTTTGTGAATATCTTTAGGACAAAGAAAAACAAGATTCAAGTTTGAATGTTCATTTGAGTTTTTCTTTTGTTACAAGTCCTTTTTGTTGCCTATGGTATTAGAGACTGTGTGCATGTTTGTCTGTCCTGCTTTCAGAATAATCATATATACTGTTATGTGCTCACTCCGTCACAAACACATGCGTTTTCATTAAGATAAAACAATTAAATACACTTGCAAAAACAGTTTTAGGCACGCTACTTCTGTACTTGTGTTAAAGTGTGTTATACTACATTGGCTGTTTGAGTAAACCATTCTTGTGATATGATTGATTTAAGGGCGGTGCGACACCTCTGCCAGCGAAGGTGGAGGCTGTTGCGGCTTTTCCTCGCCCGCTCACAGCCAAGCCCCCAGGAAGTGCGCCGGAGTCTGATGAGAATATTCATAGTGGCCAAATGGCGGTACTACACTTCCGTTTGGTTGCTGGGCCCGGAAACACTTTTTCCCATTGACTTACATTGGGAAAGAGTGGTCTGTAACTCGTTGGATAATTTTTTTTAAACTAAATAAACAACCCAGTATGAAGACATGTATAGCCCTTATTAAAAACATTCGTTCCTCAAGTTGTAAACATTTGCTAATAACGTTATTCTGAGAGTTATTTCCCTCGGCATTATGAACGCGCATCTAACCCACGGGACCGCCTGCCCGGCACGTTCATGTGATGTGACGTATTCAGCACCTCCCCCTTCACACGCGGTCACGTTCAGTGTTCACTGTCATGTCACTGAGGCTAAAGAGACAACGCTTTACAGTCTATGCTAACAACCGACAACAGTTTGCTCCAAAAGGTAAGATACGAAAACATATTTATTTTCTAACCTGCCTCCTTAATGTCTGTATGTAATGTAACATGTTCTCATATAAAAGACTAAAATAAGCCAAACCACTCATCAGCAACCGCTACTGTGGCTAAGCTAATGTTGGGTGTTTGCACAGTAATTTTCCATACTTTTCATAGTTAACCAAAATGCTAGAAATGTATGCATGCCAGCAGTTCTGCAATGTTAACTCTGGATGCATTAGCCAACTTTCTAGAAACCAGACTTTGCATTTATAATTCGTTTTATATATATATATTTCTATTTAAAATCTATAAATGTGAGATGAAAAAACAAAAAATGACATATCTTTTTCACAACTAATTTCCAATGCAATGTCCCTACCATTGTAAACGACGATGCATACAGAATCTTCAAGAACACATATTATTTTAAAGAGGCGTGAAGAGCTAATCATTTGTACTTTATTTATAGATGGCAGAAATAGCCGGATCGTCATCCAGAGAGGAAATGCTGAAGGAAAGTGGGCCTCCCGCCATACTTGGACAAGGTGCTGTATAGTTTTTATAAGAATTTGTATTCATTTTGTTTCAGTAATTTTTTGATTGCATACCCTTTACTTTCATATGGCAAAAACAAATATATTGTACCTTATTTTTACATCTGATAAGTGAAATCAGTTGATTGTGACCTTATCACAAAAAGTCAGTGACTTGATACATCCTGCTTCGTAATAATGCATGAAATCGTCATGCATTATTTAATGTAATATTAATATATAATCTTAATCCTTATAAAGTTTCATCATGATTCTATATACAAGTATAGAGTTATATGTAATATAATCTACAAATTAAACTTGTGTAGTCTTAAAAATATGATGAAAATGATATGACAACTCAGGCTACATGTACCGCCTTTTTCTAAAAGATGATCACCAGTAACCACTTTTTCCTTTTTCAATATATTTTATTCTATCTAGGTCCCAATGTGTGGATAATAGGGAGCAGCTACATTAGACGTGGGGAAGAAAGAGCCAGACACACCATGGGAAGCAATCCCCTTGTCTTTTTCTCTCTTTCCCTCACTCATCTTAGTCCCCTTGTCTTTTTCTCTCTTTCCCTCACTCATCTTAGTCCCCTTGTATTTTTCTCTCTTTCCCTCACTCATTTGAGTCCCCTTGTCTTTTTCTCTCTTTCCCTCACTCATCTTAGTCCCCTTGTATTTTTCTCTCTTTCCCTCACTCATCTTAGTCCCCTTGTATTTTTCTCTCTTTCCCTCACTCATCTTAGTCCCCTTGTATTTTTCTCTCTTTCCCTCACTCATTTTAGTCCCCCTGTTTTGTTTCTCTCTTTCCCTCACTCATCTTCCCCAGCCTCACCAGCCTCACCCAGACGACGAGACGGCGTACAGAGAGGAGGTCGAAAACCTGACATCTTGGTGCCAGGATAACAACCTCCATCTCAACGTCAGCAAAACCAAGGAGCTGATTGTGGATTGCAGGAAGCAGCAAAGAGAGGGACACGCCCCCCATCGCCATCAATGGGACTACGGTAGAGAGAGTCAGCAGCTTCAGGTTCCTCAGTGTCCATCACGGACACAGCTGCATCACGGCCTGGTACGGCAGCTGCACCGCCCTCAATCGTAAGGCTTTCCAAAGGGTGGTGAAAACTGCACAGAACATCACCAGGGCGGAGCTGCCATCCATGGAGGACCTTTACTCCCAGCGGCTCAGGAAGAAAGCCCTCAGTTTATGTTTATGTTTATTTTAGAAATGTTTTGGCACATTTGTTCCAATTCTGCTAATGGTATATTGCAGGATATTTAAGTCTCCCATGTACTTTTTAAATTAATAATAGTATGTTCATCTTGATGTTTAACTTGTAATATTGTAATCATCTTAGTTAGAAATGCTGTTTCCACCCCATCCTCTGCTGCTGAATGATTTTATATATTGTTACTGAAAGTGCTTGTCTTTGATATTATAATGATTCCACCAGAAAGTCACTCTTTGTGAGATTTATTTGTTCACATTTTTCCCAGCCACAAGATGATGTTCATTCATTGTAGGCCTCAAAGCTGGGTGAAGGTATTGATGCACGGATCAATGCAATCCTTTACAACAGCATTCCACTATGGTTGGGGATGTCTGTAAAAAAAGGAGAAATAATCTTAAACCAAATAAGTGTCGCAATATAGGGAAACAAACTGACAAAAACATCAATTAGATCAGAATACATTTACATTGTTACAGCAGAAAAAGAGCCAAAGACAGCCTAATGTTACTTAAAGTATGCATAAAAAAAGTATTAAAGATTCAAAACAAGAAATTATAATTTAAAAAAAATACACATTTCACAAAATACACATCCAGCAACAACAGTTTGGAGGATTTAGCAGCCTGGTATATTACACAGTTTTAGCGGCATATTTATATATATATATATATATATATATATATATATATATATATATATATATATACACATGGTTGGTATTTAACAACAAGGGGTGTTGTACTGTGATATTGGTATTTATGGGAACATTTGACACCTTTCCTTCAAGTATTATACGTTTTAGTTACTTGTGGGCTACTTAACATGAATAATCACAGTTACTATCCTTTTACTCAATCACATTTCAAAAAGAAATAGGATATTGTTATTTTAACTCCACCACAGTAATCCATCATAAGCTTTACTTTTTAGATAAAGTTGTAACTCACAATTGATCATAACAGGCTTCAACATATACATTTGTATATATTACCAAGTGGTTTCATGTACAACCCACACAAGTATCATGCTAAATAAAGCTCTGTTGCTTGGATATCACTAGATCCTGATGTCAGCGTAATATAAAAGTACATAACGATTGATGTGTAAGTTAGCATCATTTACTAGCTAGCCGCTAGCTGCTAACTGCCGCCTCGTTAATATAAATCCAGTACCATGCTGTCATGAACGCGCGGTGCTGTTACGTGTACGCAAATTCACGTGCTTAATGTGAACGAGCCTTTTGGGCGGCGTGGTTAAAGTTGCGCATGCGCTATGAGCGCACATACGGGTAATCTGTGACGTTTCGCTCTCTCAAAAGTTGGGCCATTTTGTCATCATGCGCTAATGAGCAACTCTCATAGGAATGAATGAGGCCCCGCCTCCCACGCTGTATCCAGTTCTTATTATACATCCATGCTCACAGCCCGGTCGCTCCGTGAGTTTCTGGGGATGGTGACTTTCTACCTGTAGCGTTAGCTTCCATTCCTGCTAGCTCGTCAAGCAGAGCAGTTCATGTGATAACCTCTCTGTTATTAATGGCTAATAAAGATTGGAACTCTGTTCTTAATACACCGCCTCCGACTCCCTTTTCCTGGCACTACAATACACAATATTACAAATCAGTTCATAGTCATCAGAAAATTAGTGGCCGGTGAATTAACTTTTATAAATGTTTGGGTTAAAACAACCCATATTCTTCAAGAAGCTTGTACTGTTCGGTATGGCAGTTTGACACTGAAGCTTCGAACGGAGCTTCAACCCTGGACTTCCTATTCCATAGAAGCAGTGCTTCGAAGCTTGCTTCAAATCACGTGATATATGACGTCCGAAGCAGCAACTGCTTCAAATCAAAGTGATTCGATGCTTCATTCAAAGCTTCATTTTGCCATCACTACTGTTCGGTCTTAGTGTATCTTTACATTAAAAGTTTCATCAGACTACAATGTTAAATATAAGGCAATATATTATAAACATGTAATCCAATATGGCCACAGTCTACACTAGCATGTACACTTTCATTCAAGTTGAGGAACTTTCAAAGTTTCAAGTGCAGACATTGGGATAAGGAATCACATGTTTTAAGTTTAGTGCTCAATGTCTATCAATTGACTTGTACATTTAGTGGGAGCCCCTTAAAGTGATAAGATATTTTACCACTTGAGCTAAAACCTAAGAGTCACATTATAAAGAGTGCCACTGGTAAAGGTCAAAGTAAAAAGTCCAACTCAAAAGCAAACACTGCATTGTTGTAAGAACCAGTGTGCCACATAAGCAGATATCTCACACTTTTGTAAATTTGCAATAGTTTAAACTAGAACTATTGAGACATTTGTTTTTGCTAAGGGGATTTTCACAATCTTTTGTCAGCGCTGTAAAGTATTAAGATACATTTTCCAAATTTGGTTTGTAAAGGAAACATTTTTGCAACACACCTTTTAGACACTAGAGGGCACCAAGCTTACATCCACAAGCATTCATGCTTAGGCATTCACCATCCCACAATACAAGGTGAAGTAAAGACACAACCAGGTGGTAAATTAATGTATTTATTTAAAAATAAAATATTCATCCGAGGACACCAGCTGCACCTGTAAGAACAAACACACATTAGTCACCAGGTTTAAGTTAATGTATAGAACAGCAAGAAAGCGAGCATAGTACTCACCTGCTATTGTCCCCACTTTGGACTGACACGAAACCATTTGGCATTTATGTGAGCACTCGGGACTTGAGAGGAGCAACCTGAGGAAAGATGTAGGCCTGGGGTTCAGCCTGCCTCTGAGGGGCCACGTAGGCCCTGTTGGGAGCCTTGTAGGCCTGGTTCGTTGCTTGCCGCTGAGGGGCTACGTAGGCCTTCTTGGGAGTTTCGTAGGGCCTGTTGGGAGTTTCGTAGGGCCTGTTGGGAGTTTCGTAGGGCCTGTTGGGAGTTTCGTAGGGCCTATTGGGGGTCCTGTTGGGAGTCTCGTAGGCCCTGTTGGGGGTCCTGTTGGGAGTCTCGTGGGCCCTGTTGGGAGTCTCGTGGGCCCTGTTGGGAGTCTCGTGGGCCCTGTTGGGAGTCTCGTGGGCCCTGTTGGGAGTCTCGTGGGCCCTGTTGGGAGTCTCGTGGGCCCTGTTGGGAGCATTGTAGGCCCTGTTGGGAGCATTGTAGACCCTGTTGGGAGTCTCGTAGGCCTTGTTGGAAGTCTCGTAGACCCTGTTGAGAGTCTGCTGCTGGGGAGCATTGTAGGCCTGGTTTGTTGCTTGCCGCTGAGGGGCCACGTAGGCCTTGATGGGAGTCTGGTAGGCCTGCTGGGGCTTCCTGACACTCACTTTCTCCTGCCCAGGAGCCTTCGGCCGTCTGATAGCATAGCCACCAAATTGTTCAGGGATGATGTGGGTCTTGGTCGGGGCTAACTTCTTACCAGAGGTTCCCTCTCTGGATGATTTGGAGTCGTAGCTCGTTGAGTAACTGTGAGGCTTGAAGATGGGACCATTTCCTACATTGGACTCAAGAGAAGTGCCATAACTTGAGGCCATGGAAGTAGCCTTGTAGCTTCCTCTGGCATTTCCTGCATTCCCTGAAAACAGTTTACTCTTGTATGGGTTCACAACCTCAGTCTGGCTGGGGTTTTTAGGAGCTGAAGGACGGGAAGGTTTATTCGTTTTAGACACTAGCTTAGCACGAACACTGGAGGAAGTTTTGGTCCGTGCAGGGGTTTGGTTTGGCTCAGGAGCACCGGCACCAAACAGGCTGGAAGACTTCTGCGTGTCCTTGTTGCTGCTCTTACTCAGAGAATCGCTACCGACAATAGCACTAGAAAGGCCATGAAAACGCTGTTTAGGCACACGATTCAAGTTAGGTTTTGACACTGAGCTGCCCTGCACTAACCTGACTTTAGCTAAGCCACTTTTAGCTGGCTGTGAAACAGTTTGTGTGTAGCCACCAGTAGAAGGCCCCCAGCTAAAACGACTGCCCACAGCTGAAGGTATGTTTAAGTTTCTGCTTTGAGCCTGTCTGAGTCGATTCTGGAGATAGTTGACACCAGCTTCCCGATTATTTTGCCTGAAGCCAACATATGTGTTGTTGTTCTTGCTCTGAGCTGCTAGAGAAAAAGAAAAATATTAAAGCCACAGCTATAGTCATTCACAGCACTTAAGTGAAATGTTGTGCTTAGCTCACCTTGTGAAGCCCACAAACAGCGCACATGCTCTGCTTGAACCAAGACAATAAGGAAAATCCTGCACAGAAAATATGTAAACATCAGAGATTGCAGACAGCTAACAACAATTAACTTTGCATGTCTGCAGAAACGTACCCCAAATGAACTCCACAAGTCATATTTCTCTCTCTCTCTCTGTTCCAAGACAGCAGTAAATAACCAGTAGCCCCAAAGTGACTTGCTCTGCTTGTCTGAGCAGCAGAAAGGAGGCTTTATTGCAGCTTGCAGCCAATCAGGGCCTAATGAGCTGATTGTCTACAGGTGCTGCTGTGCTGTCAGGGTGGCAACTGAGTGCTGTTGATTTTCTGATTTTCTGTCACCTCTGAGTTCTTAAGTCCTGTGCAAAAAACTGTAAGGTAAAAGAGCAATATCTCAAACCCCTAAATGACCATTTTGTACATCAGACTTTCTCACAAAGGGTTACTTTCAGTTGTTCAAGAAACTTGTTTGTTTTTCTTGCATTTCTCAGGGTAAAATGAAGAAAGTGAAAACAGAAAACATTTGGGATTTATTGAAGTAATTGGAGAGCAAAAATATGTTTTTGTTTCACCCTGTTGTTACATTACATTACATGTGACTTGTTAGACGCTTTTATCCAAAGCGACTTACATACTCAATACTGTGGACAATCCCCACAGGAGCAATTTGGGGTGAAGTGTCTTGCCCAGGGACACAACGACATGTTGACTGCAGTGGGGTTTGAACATGTGACCCGCTGATCTGAACACCAACACACAACCCACTACACCACACGCCTTTTTTTGCTTGTATTATGGTACTGTTATTGGTTTTGTGAATATCTTTAGGACAAAGAAAAACAAGATTCAAGTTTGAATGTTCATTTGAGTTTTTCTTTTGTTACAAGTCCTTTTTGTTGCCTATGGTATTAGAGACTGTGTGCATGTTTGTCTGTCCTGCTTTCAGAATAATCATATATACTGTTATGTGCTCACTCCGTCACAAACACATGCGTTTTCATTAAGATAAAACAATTAAATACACTTGCAAAAACAGTTTTAGGCACGCTACT